TCTCCTTAAAGTTTTACAAAGCCAAGGTTCATTTAAGCTTGGATTTTTCGAAGTTGTGATGTACTGGTTTAAATATAATAGGATAAATTACTTTGACATCCCATGACATTTGATTTTTTTACTACACGGACACCCCCTCATATTTTAAAAATAACGCCGAATTCCATTGACATTTAATACTTGTAACATCCATACCCCCTCTAACTAACGGACGTTAAAATTATTCACAGTCAAAATGNCACCCCCTCATATTTTAAAAATAACACCGAATTCCCTTGACATTTAATACTTGTAACATCCATACCCCCTCTAACTAACGGACGTTAAAATTATTCACGGTCAAAACTAATGTCATCAACAATGATTCCTAGAATATCAAAAATACCCTTCGAATTAAGTGTAAGAATTCAAATAAATATTTTTTTTTACCATACAAATTTACCCAACCTCTCATTTATTTTTTTTAATCTATATAATTCATATATAAATTAAAATTTAAAATTTAACACTAAAATGTTTAATTTTTAATCTATTACATTAATAAGTTAATTTTTAAAATTTTTTTGTTTATTAAATAATATTTGGAATTATTAGTACAGTTTAAAAATTAATCATTTTTTTTAAATCTTAATAATTACCTATCCATTTATGCCATATTAATTTTAATTTTATTTATTATTTATTATTTATCTAATTACATAAATTCTTACTCTACCACCCACCACCACTGGATCCACCACTTAAACCCATCCATCACCACCGGTCTAGCACCTAAACCCACCCCATCACCACCAGTTCCACCACCAAAATTTTCAAACCCAACTAGACGTATCAAAACTTCGAAACCCAACTAGACCCACCACCACCACTGTCCGTGAACCCTATCACAATAGTGCATCTGCTACACAACAGCACCAGCACAAAGAGAAAGAGAGAGAAAGAAAGATGAGAGACTAAAATCACAAATCATTGAAACCACCTCTGCCTCCACCACCACTGAAACCAACACTTGGACTAAACCCATCATCAACCAACACCACTACATTTCAGAGGTTAAGGTTTCAAAATCCACCTGCAACCACCACCTTCAAACTGCATCTCCCTAGGTAAAGATTAATTCGTGCAACAATTGGAGATCAAATGTTGATGGATCTGTTTGTCTACTATGGGATGTCGGCTAGTGGAGGTGTTGATTAAATTCTCGGCGATGGTGGTTGCTGGTGAAAATAGGCGGTAATGGTTGCGCCGCTGGTGTTGGTACCGGATGTTAAGGGGGTTTCATACTTCTTGAGAGAGGGGGAGATGTATCGACCCTACATAGAGAGGTGGTGGAGTTAAGCTGTGTTGTCCTCCTTTTTAGTTGAGAGAGAAAGAGAGAGAGAGAGAGAGATGTGTGGCATCAGTGTTTTGAGGGCAAAAGAGACGATGAGAATTTAGGGGTTGAATACTAGATTTGGAGTCGGGAGAGAAGTTTTAGGGGAACAGAAAGACAGAGAGAGAGAGAAAGAGATTCGGTTGTTGGGGATTTTGATTTGGTGAGAGAGAGTGTGTGTGCGGGGCTTTCAGGGGAGAAGAAGAAGGGTATTGGGTCTTGAATCTTGGGTCTTGGGTTCTTGGATCTTGATGAGTAGTTAATGTGAGGGTAAAATGGTCTTTTTGTTTGTGCTGTTAACAACGTTCGTTTTATGGGGTCTTAATGAATTTTGAAAACGTGAGGGGGTGTCCGTGTAATAAAACCAAATGTCAGAGAATGTCAATGTAATTTACCCAATATAATATCTTAGAATCTAATCAAACTGTCAAGAATCTACAGTAAAGCATTAATTCTACTTTAATATAACACACACACACACACACACACACACATACATATATGTTATTTACTATTTCTTTCTCCCTGAAAAACTGTGTTCAAACATTTGATAATTCTCCAATTCTTAACTTTAAACAACAGTAAAGTTTCAAATGTTGTTGTAAGGAAGAGATCTATAAATATAGTTGTCTTCTGCTAATTACAGGTAATAGTACAGTTATAACATTACCTTTTACGGCTGTTGCTGTTTTTATAATTTTGTTTACTGTTCTCTATATTATGTGTGTTGTTTAATGTACAGCCCTTTCTGGTTGAAAACCTTAAAGTAGTGTTTCTTTGTACTATTGTTAACTTATCTAGGATCATTAGGCTATTGTGCAGTTATATATACCAAAGCTCTATTGCTGTAGGAACATGATACGAAATTAGTAGATTATAATTGACAAATTAATGAATGATAATTTCAAATAACGCGATCGTCGATCTGGTTAAAGGAATAGTTAACATGTCCGGCTAGTATTAAACATGAAAAATATGATTTTGACATGACAAATCCATTATGCTGCCTGCTGGTATGCACAAATAAAATGTTCTCCTTTTAAATTATTATTATTTTTTAATAATAAACATATTTTTGGATCAAGTTCGACCGAACCGGCCGCCCCATGATTAACCCCTGTACGAAGTAGTTAATTCACCATGTTAATTTTACAAGAGTTAAATTAAATATTAATAAGAACGAGTTGTGAATTCAAATATTTTGAAATTTGAATTTAGATAATTTTTTGGCGTGAATGATTTGTTTTTGACAGGTCTAAAATGAAAATTTATCGAAACGTGCGTAAGTTGAATCGGACATCTTAATCATTGAACAAAAAAATAAAATTAACGAGGGCAATAATGTCATTCCACATAACAAACAGTTCAGTTTCACATGCTGAGGTGGTGGGACCATTGGCCCTCCAAAATCATTAGTAAATGTTGACTATTTGTTTAAAAGAATCCACGTGGCAAGTTCAAATTGGCAGTTTCATTACCCGCTTCCAACGCTGTTTATAAGTCCCAAACCCTCGGTCAGTTTCCATCGCTCTCCCTTATCTTGTTCGCAATCAATGCCCCGTTGTGGTCCCCAAGCACTACTACCAACTCACCCGCATTCATAAGCTACCCTCACCCACTATGGTCCCACAAAACCACACCCTCATACCTCAAAATTTTGCCACATCAAATCAAACAATACAATATCAATATCGTGTTGCGATATTTTCGTATTAAATTATAGCATAAAATTTTAAAATATAACTCAAATGGTAACCGATGGTGCTGAGAAATGTTGGCATAAATTCAGAATCGCAGTCAAATGGTCCAAAGAGGGGATAGAGCGAACTAAAAATAGATAAAATTGGGAGAAAAAAAAGTAGACAATTACATAAGTGATTCACTTTAATTGAAAAATTAAGCTTACGTTTACTATAAGAGTCTCTTATTCATTTAGGATATATATTGTTTAAAAATTACAGGTTATAGTGATTTGTTTGACTTAGAGCATTTACAAGAAAATATTTAGAGAATACAAACTTTTACTGTGTAAATCAGTGAAGAGGATAATGATTGTTTTTTTTTTATGGTGTAATAGTATCTTATTTATACAGGTAATCCTTTTTGAGGTTTTCTGTAACTCCTTTTGTTTTGCTGATTTTGTGAACCCTTCTACTTTTATCTTATAGTGACTTTTGTCAGGTGACATTACTGCATCTACGGTCCTTGAGTGATTATGCACATTAATATTCTTTGTGACGTAGAGTGCGTGTTCATTATGGGTGTCAAAAGTGGTTCCTCTGCCCTCAGGACTCGTGGTGCGACGGGAGTGCTTTAGGATAGACAATGGACCGAGCTCCTTTTATCCCGAGCTAACCTCCAGCTGAGCTGGACTTCAAGCCTTCAAATACTGTTGGACGTTATTCTTTGGGCACGGTCCAATCTAATCATGGTGCGGATAGACTGCAGGTGAGCTATTTGGGCTGCTATGCAAGTAGAAGCCTTCTGAACCTATTGGACTCTTGGTTATGGTAGTTTATACCTAAAATTTCATCATTATCAATAACAAACACGAGTTATAAATTTAAATGTCATGAATTCAAATATTAACAATTTTATCAAATCAAACATTCTGATGTCATGTGTCTGAATACTTTAGTCTCAATATGGATGACCTGTCTTTTAACTCAACAAAAAAAAAGATTAATTGAGGTATATATAAACTGATCCAAATATTACTAACCCTTAAACAAAAAAAAAATTGTAATGTAACAATTACTTATTAAATTGTATCATCTTATCAATTTAAATGATTTTTCAATTTCATTTTCTATTTTGTATGAGCCAAAAAAGCTAGCACCCTGATACTTGATAAAAATCAAGGTAATCAAAGAGCTCATCTCAAATACAAATCGTCATGAGACAAGTCATTTTCAAGCATTTATCTACAACAATAATAAATACATATGTGGTAGAGATAAATCTCAAAGATTTTACGCCATGGCCTCCACAAAAACCACACCTCATAGGTCAAATTTTTGCCACATCAAATCGAGCAATTCAATATCGTGTCGTGTTGTGTCGGTGTCAAATTTTTATCGTATCATTTATGTGTAGGGTTGAATCGTGTTAACAATTCAAATGATTTCTCAATTCATTTGGTGTTCCGATGAGCCAAAAAATAAAATAAATTAGCACCTTGATACTTAATAAAAACCAAGATAATCAAAGAGTTTATTTCAATACAAACCCCCTTGCCACAAGTCATTTTCAAGTATTTATATGCAACCGAAACGTAAATGTGATAGAGATAAATTTCAAAAATTTTAAATTTGAAATTCAAAGAGATTTTTATTAATTAGATTGTGGGTTGTTTTGATACATAATACGAATATAAGTATGTGATACGATATTTTTTTATGTACACGATACGATATGATAAGTTTAGCCGATACGGTATTTGAGATGTTTAAAAAAAAAAAAATAATAATGATAATTTAGCAAAATGTCTTAAGTTTCACATAACACCCATGAACCCCTAAGTCAGTATAACAAAACCTCAAAACCCCATTGAAATAAAGCACCACCTGAAGTCTCGATGGACTAACAATCACCTTCGAAACTCCCACACACTCTCTCTCTCTTGCCGATGGAGAACTACTCCTATAATTCCTACCCGGAGTCCGGCAACTCATCACCCCGCTCACGCGAAATCGAATTCGAAAACCCTGCTCCATGGGAGGATCAACAACAAGCTCAGAACTACAAGGTCAAGTTCATGTGTGGCTATGGCGGCAAAATTAATCCCAGACCTCACGACAATCAGCTTTCTTACGTCGGCGGTGAAACCAAAATACTCGCCGTTGATCGGAATATCAGATTCGGTTTACTTCTCTCCAAACTCTCCGCTCTGTGTGATGCCGATAATGTGTCCTTCAAGTACCAGCTTCCCGGTGAAGACCTTGATGCTTTGATCTCGGTGACGAATGAAGATGATCTTGAGCACATGATGAGCGAATACGATCGGTTGTATCGAGCGTCGCCTAAGCCTGCGAGATTGAGGTTGTTCTTGTTTCCGATGAATCCATCGGCGGTGGTGACGCAACGGAATCAGAGTTTCGGTTCGGATGAGGGTAAGTCGGAGAAGGAAAGATTTGTGGAGGCTTTGAATTCTGGTCCGATCCAGACTTCTCTGCCGCCGTCGACGGTGGCGCCGCCAAGTAATGTGGATTTTCTGTTTGGTTTGGAGAAAGGAATGGCTGCACCACCACTACCACCTGCCGTGGCAGCAAAATTTCGAGATTCGTTTCCGGAACCGGAAGTTCCACTTCCCGGTGTAGAAGCTCGGTTTACCGGAACAGATCCGATTCAAAAACATATTGAAGATTTGCAGAGGCTGCGAATTAGCGCTGAAGAGCAAGCTACGCATCGGAGAAAAAGCGATGAAAATTTAACTGGAGGATTTACCGGCGACTATTATGTGCAGAAAATGCCAGAAAAAGTAGCTCCACCAATTCCGGTTACTATGCCGGGAATGGCAGGTTACTGGCAAGAAAAACCAGTTACCGGTGGAGTTTTCCCGGCGAGTACATGGGGAACGGAGCAACCGGTATACATGATCCAAGCTCCGGCGACAGGTGTCTATCAAACGCCGTCTATGGGAAGACCAATGAATGGACCAAGCGGTCAGGGGTACTACGCTGTCCAGAGGATGCCGCCGGAGGTTTACCGGGAGCAGCAAGTCTACGGTTTGATGCAACCGGTACAATCCGCTGGACCGTCCGCTGCAACATCGGTTCAGGCGAGTCTGCCGCCACAGGCACCACCTAAGATGGCAGCGTACTCGGAAGGGATAGGGATGATGAAACAGCCTACAAGTGGAGGATTGGGGGTGGCGGATACGGGGTACGCACAGGTGGGATATGATAGTGGGTTTGGTAGGCAGGTTTTCTACACTGCACCGGGAGGGGCTGTGCCAGTAGCTCCACAGTATCAGGCAGTTGCTGCTGCGGCGGTTAGTGCAGACATGAGACCAGGTGGTGTATTGAATCAACAGGGTGGGAAGGTGTGATCATAATTTAGTCAAATTTCAAATATTATAAATGGGTCCTACTTTATTATATGTTTTTGCATGCTACTTAGTACTCACCCTACCTTTGTTGTGTATATGGAAATGAATAGTAATTGAGGTTTTTATTTATTATCTATCTATCAAAAGCATTGCATTGTTATGATCCTTATAGTGTATTTGAAATACTTGAAACAACGCTAAACGAAGTTGAGTTGAGCAGTATCACTCTGGTAATTTAGCTGAATTGTGTCTGTCTCTCTCTGCATCGACCAGTCGGAGTCGGGCCGACCCAGTCATCATCGTCGATCACCATTAAATTCGGCAGCCCACCCAACTCCAACTCCAACTCTGGCCTTCAGTCTGCCGTCACCACCCACCGCAGCTAACACCTCAATTCCAATTTTTTTTCACCAAAATCAAACTGCAATTAGAATCAAAAAGAAGAACATGAATCAAAGATGTGTGTGTGTGTGTGTTGATGGTGAAACAAAGATCTGCACGGTCGTCGGCAATCTGTGTGTCTGTGTTGGTGGATTATTTGATTTAGATTTGATTGGGGCTGTCAAAAAGAGGGGATGAGTGTTGGTAGAAGAGGCTCTTGACGAACTGGGGAGATCTTTGGTGGTGGAAGATGATATTGCCGATGATCTGTGTGTGTATGTGCGTGAGAGAGAGAGAGAGAGAGAGAGAGAGAGAGAGAGAGAGAGGGAGAGGATTTGGATTACAATGAGGTTAGTGGTGGTGGTGGTTATGGCTATTGATGGGAACGAGGAGAAGGACGAGAGGGAAAGAGAGAGGCTATGTGTTTTCGTCTTTTTGACATGCATTTTTATACCAAATTGTATCACAAACGCGTGATATGATATACACCGATCATTAAAATGGATGAAAAATAAATTTAACGGTGTGTTTTAGTTCAATAACCACAAAGGGGGGTTAAGTGTCATTTTGAAATCTGAGGAAGGTGATGCGCAAATAGATCAAACCACGAGGGAATAAAATAAAATAAAATAAAATTTGCCCTTTTATCTAGTTGTACGTTCCACATTGTTGACGTTAAAGCTTGGGCTTCCCTTAACCTAAAAGATGATCGCCACCTTTTTTGGTAACCTATAAGAGGCTCACCACACAATCTAGTACATTTGAGTGGCCACTTGCACTATTGCTGTGTCTCTTCTATCTTTTGTATCTTACCAGCTTCTTCTATTATCTGATTAGTGATTGCTTGCGTATTGCGTACTAGATGGATAAACGGAAATGAAATCTGAACTCATCCTCTTTCTTGATTCTCATAGTTTAGAAAAAGAAAAATGGGTACTTCATAATTGTTTGTACTGTGGATATGTTCAATGTATCTAACCTAAGATTCTTTTCAGATATTCTTTTAATTATGTTTTATGCTGCTAACAATCTTGAACTCTTGAACCATATGACCTTGTAATGTTGCAGAAAATATTCACCTTGGTTGGGAATAAGTGAAGTTTCTTAGAGTTAGTTAGGTCAACTAAACCCCAAGAATCAATGCAGAGTGTAACCAAAAAAAAAAAAACACCACTTTTATTTCACTTCGCCGAGATGTGAGGTGCAAGTGGTGGTGATCAACCCAGGGGTATGCACTAGCGCCCCTTTGCAAGTACTCTAGAGCGCTCATGAAAACCCGAGTTGGTCGGTCCTCTATTCATCCAAGTGGAGGTTTGGATAAGGAGGTCACCCACTTCCACAACCTTCTCTCCCTTCTGGTCCTATGTTTCAGTAAAGGTGGGAAGGTTTGTTTGAGGCGCTCTGCCGCTCCTTAGCTAGAGTTCATGACGTGCTATGGAACCTCTAGCGTGTTGGGATCAAGCAAGGTATAACTAGCGGTTTGTTTGAAGCACTTTGCCGCCAAAGGATCATTTTATACATACTTTGATTAATATTTTTTTTAATTTAATTAAAATTTAATCATTCACGTCAAAATTAGAATATTCATCTTCAGGCGAGGCCAACTGTAATTCTTTTATGTTACATGATCTGAGAGTTAAAAAGAATACAAAAGGTTAAAAGCTGTCCATGTGGTTACAGGGAAAGTTACAGGGGTTGTTTCACTAATGACAAATATCTAGAAATCAGAGCTAGGTTTTTGGATCTTTTCTGTGTGTTCGTTGGTAATAGTTGGATATCTGAGTCATATGACATATATAGGGATAAGCATAGCAGCTAGAATTTCCATAGACAGGTGTGCATTTTCTCATGATACAATTAGACAACACCCATCAATGACCCCACCACCAACCATCTCTTTTGGTTCAAGCTTTGATTTTCTTTGTTGTTTTCCATAATAGCTCTTCCAATTTCCACCTATTCCACACTCAATGAGTATTGGGAAGTTGACAACATGTTGATGATAAATTTTGACATGGATGGCGACAAGTTACTTGGGCCTCTACTAACCATTCTCTAGTAAATTAATAGGGATAAATATAAAAAGATAGTTCAAGTGGTAACATAAATAAATTATAAATTTAAATATTTTATATTTAAATTTTGATAATTTTTCAGGACCATGTCAAATGAATTTATTTTTCTTAAATTCTTTAATCCAAGAGTAGATAACTTATATTTAACTAGATCGGGGACAGGAACGACTCAAGTCAATTTGAGACTTAAAGCGGAAGCATTAACTGGAGATATTTTTTATTTTTAGTATTATTTTTTTAAAAAAATTAATTTATTTTTAATTTTCTATGTAAAAGGAAGACAAAAGAAGAATGTGTTAATATTTTCGAGAAAGATATTTCAATTTTTGTTTTTATTTTTTACCACAGAGAGGAAGAGAGAGTGTTTAATTTCAAATTTTGTTTTTTATTTTTTTACTAGAGAGAGAGAGAGAGAGTAAATATGAATTGATTTTTGAGTATTTTTTAAATTTCTAAGTTTTTAATGTTATGGATTGGATTATAGGTTCAAATTATTGCAATAAAATTTTTGATTGAATTTAATTTTTTAGGCCTTTTTTGTAGGACTTAAAATTTAATGGATTTAATTTTTTTTTTTTTGTGAGCTAATGATGTACCTAAAATTATAGTGTCTTCTAAAATTTTGGAGCCTAAATCCCATGCTTCTTTTTTTCATACTGTTGGGCCGTCCCTGATCAGAGAAAAATTAGTTAAGATATGTGTAAACTGACTCGGATATTTTTTACTGTTGAACTAAAAAAAAAGTGTAAGTTATTTAAAATAGGGTGGAGCTAAAAAAAAAAATCTAGGATGAACAATAATGACGAAAGACAATTGATTTTTACAAAGCAATTATAGTGAAGTGATATATTTATACTTATTTACAAAGGCTAATTGCAAAAAACACAATGGTCAATTACATATTATTTCTAATAAATTTAACGCTTAAATTAAGAATACAAAACCCCAAAAAAAAAAAAAAAAACCCGACTATGTAAACTAAGGTGGATTGTGAGAAACCCTAATGCAATAAGAATAGACTTAAGTATGCAATTATGGACCAAACACAACTTATAGTCTTAGAAAAGGCACTATGAAAGCCAAAAGAAACAATGACAAAATCATGGGTTTTAGAGAATCTAAAAAATAGGAGGGATAACGAAGTTGTCAACCATTGGACCTCAAATAAATGAGCAATGCTATACACTTCAAAATGTGCACAAAATCATTTGTAGTCATCAAATTAATGGGTCCTATTGCTGATCCAAAGGCTGCATATGATTTGGTGCACATTTTGGTGTACATAATTTTATCCTAAATGCAAACCACATATTGTTAGAGGATTGTATAGAAGTTGGAGAGTGATCCAATCGACAATCATGTTTTCTTCTCTCTTGATTTTTCGCTAAATCTCTTGGCATCTCTTTGGCTTTCATCTGTTGAGAATAATCTCACACGACAAAGTTATTAACCTATGAATTTTTTCAAATTAAAATGCTTTGTTATGTAATTTAGTTATAGGTCTATACAAGGCCACCATAAAAATACTTGAGAGGTATATCTATATAATAAAGTACAATACAATTCAAATATCAAAAGATAAACAAAATGACTTTTGCTATTCGTGGTTGAGATTATTTTAAATTTTATTTTAAAGTTAATCCAACGGTTAATATTAACATTCTAAATTTAATAGAAAAAATAGGCCGCTAAGGGTATTTTGAGTGATTTTTTAAAAGTACTTCTAGAAATTATTTTTCATAAGTATTTTACAAAAAATAATATTTAAAATTGCTCCACCACTATCTTTACCACCATCTCTACTGCTCCACCATTGTTGCCACTATTGCTGCCGCCTTCACAATCACTATTGCCACCCCACCACACGCACCACCCCACCACTATCATCACCGCAGCTGCCATCATCTTACCACGACTATCACCACTTTCATTGCCCCATTATCGCCCACCACCATCGCCACCACTTCCACTGCCCCACCACCACCACTGTCGCACCTTACCACCACCGCTACTGTTGCACCATTATCCCTACTACCCTCACCGTCCTATCACCACTCCCATGACCATCACAATTACCACTAGCATCGCCAACCCACTACATCCACCCCCACCATCGCCATTGTCCTACCCCCACCCCCACCCCACCTTCACTGCCCCTCCAACACCATCGCCACCCCCCATTGATTACTACCATCGTCATCCATGACCACCACCTACTACCATCGTCATCTTATTCTTATATTTATTACCATTACCATCATCCTCCCACTACCACCGTCGTCCACCTTCAGCACCCCCACCACCACCCATTGTTGCCTACCATCGTCACCAGCCACTGTCACCTACCCACCACACCTACCACCACCACCTATTACCGCCCACCACTGCAGCCACTTCACTGTCACCTATCCCCCACCACACTTACCACTGCCGCTATTCGCCACCATCGATCACACTGTCGTCTAGAAGCACATATCGTCATTCACCACTACCATCATCAGCGCCAACCACCACCACCATCGCCAACCACCATTACCGTCGTCC